AATGGATGGCCAGGATCCCCTGGGGGACTAACTTGAAGGGGAAAGGAGTCCAGGAGAGCTGGCTGTATTTCAAGGAATCCCTGTTGAGGTTACAGGGACAAACCATCCCGATGAGTCGAAAGAATAGTAAATATGGCAGGCGACCAGCTTGGCTTAATGGTGAAATCCTAGCGGATCTTAAACATAAAAAAGAGGCTTACAAGTAGTGGAAGGTTGGACATATGACCAGGGAAGAGTATAAAAATATTGCTCGGGCATGTAGGAATGATATCAGGAGGGCCAAATCGCACCTGGAGCTGCAGCTAGCCAGAGATGTCAAGAGTAACAAGAAGGGTTTCTTCAGGTATGTTGGCAACAAGAAGAAAGCCAAGGAAAGTGTGGGCCCCTTACTGAATGAGGGAGGCAACCTAGTGACAGAGGATGTGGAAAAAGCTAATGTACTCAATGCTTTTTTTGCCTCTGTTTTCACTAACAAGGTCAGCTCCCAGACTGCTGCGCTGGGCATCGCAAAATGGGGAAGAGATGGCCAGCCCTCTGTGGAGATAGAGGTGGTTAGGGACTATTTAGAAAAGCTGGACGTGCACAAGTCCATGGGGCCGGACGAGTTGCATCCGAGAGTGCTCAAGGAATTGGCGGCTGTGATTGCAGAGCCATTGGCCATTATCTTTGAAAACTCGTGGCGAACGGGGGAAGTCCCGGATGACTGGAAAAAGGCTAATGTAGTGCCAATCTTTAAAAAAGGGAAGAAGGAGGATCCTGGGAACTACAGGCCAGTCAGCCTCACCTCAGTCCCTGGAAAAATCATGGAGCAGGTCCTCAAAGAATCAATCCTGAAGCACTTGCATGAGAGGAAAGTGATCAGGAACAGCCAGCATGGATTCACCAAGGGAAGGTCATGCCTGACTAATCTAATTGCCTTTTATGATGAGATTACTGGTTCTGTGGATAAAGGGAAAGCAGTGGATGTATTGTTTCTTGACTTTAGCAAAGCTTTTGACACGGTCTCCCACAGTATTCTTGTCAGCAAGTTAAGGAAGTATGGGCTGGAAGAATGCACTATAAGGTGGGTAGAAAGCTGGCTAGATTGTCGGGCTCAACGGGTAGTTATCAATGGCTCCATGTCTAGTTGGCAGCCGGTATCAAGTGGAGTGCCCCAAGGGTCGGTCCTGGGGCCGGTTTTGTTCAATATCTTCATAAATGATCTGGAGGATGGTTTGGATTGCACTCTCAGCAAATTTGCGGATGATACTAAACTGGGAGGAGTGGTAGATACGCTGGAGGGGAGGGATAGGATACAGAAGGACCTAGACAAATTGGAGGATTGGGCCAAAAGAAATCTGATGAGGTTCAATAAGGATAAGTGCAGGGTCCTGCACTTAGGACGGAAGAACCCAATGCACAGCTACAGACTAGGGACCGAATGGCTAGGCAGCAGTTCTGTGGAAAAGGACCTAGGGGTGACAGTGGACGAGAAGCTGGATATGAGTCAGTAGTGTGCCCTTGTTGCCAAGAAGGCCAATGGCATTTTGGGATGTATAAGTAGGGGCATAGCGAGCAGATCGAGGGACATGATCGTTCCCCTCTATTCGACATTGGTGAGGCCTCATCTGGAGTACTGTGTCCAGTTTTGGGCCCCACACTTCAAGAAGGATGTGGATAAATTGGAGAGAGTCCAGCGAAGGGCAACAAAAATGATTAGGGGTCTGGAACACATGAGTTATGAGGAGAGGCTGAGGGAGCTGGGATTGTTTAGCCTGCAGAAGAGAAGAATGAGAGGGGATTTGATAGCTGCTTTCAACTACCTGAAAGGGGGTTCCAAAGAGGATGGCTCTAGACTGTTCTCAATGGTAGCAGATGACAGAACGAGGAGTAATGGTCTCAAGTTGCAGAGGGGGAGGTTTAGATTGGATATTAGGAAAACCTTTTTCACTAAGAGGGTGGTGAAACACTGGAATGCGTTACCTAGGGAGGTGGTAGAATCTCCTTCCTTAGACGTTTTTAAGGTCAGGCTTGACAAAGCCCTGGCTGGGATGATTTAACTGGGAATTGGTCCTGCTTCGAGCAGGGGGTTGGACTAGATGACCTTCTGGGGTCCCTTCCAACCCTGATATTCTATGATTCTATGATTAAATACTTGAAATTTCTTAAAGGGACACTGCTTCAAAATGGTGTTCAATAACTATCTTAACCCACAAGGTGAAACTGGTTTCTACATAAGGTTCATTACAGCTTGCTCTCCCAAACTTCTAGGCAGATTGAGGGAGCCTGATGCACAGCCTAGCACAGGGGTGGGCAAACTTTTTGGGCTGAGGGCCACATTTGGGTGGGAAAATTATATGCAGGGCCGGGGCAGGGGGTTGGGGTGTGGGAGGGAGTGCGGTGTGCAGGAATGGGCTCTGGGCAAGGGACTGGGGCAGAGGAAGGGTGCGAGGTGCAGACAGGGGGCTCAGGGCAGGGAGTTGGGGTGCAGGAGGGGTTCGGACTCCGGCCCGGTGCCGCTTACCTAAAGCGGCTCCGGGGTGGCAGCGGCCTACACCGGGGCCAGGGCAGGCTCCCTGCATGCCTGCCCTGGCCCCACGCCACGCCACTCTGGGAAGCGGCCGGAACTATGTCCCTGCACAGCCACGGCGGGGGGTGGGGGCGCGGGCGGGCACAGGGCTCCATGTGCTACCCTTTCCACGCCTCCAGGCACCTTCCCCGAGGCTACCATTGTCTGTGGTTCCCCGTTCCCGGCCAATGGGAGCTGCAGGGGGGGCAGTGCCTGGAAGCAAGGGCAACACACAGAGGCCTCTGACCCCCACTGGGGTCCCAAGGACATGGTGCTGGCCACTTCTGAGAGTGATGCAGGGCCTGCGGCACCATGGGGGGCAATCCTGAAGGCTGGATCCAAAGCCCTGAGGAGCTGGATCTAGCCCGTGGGCCATAGTTTGCCCATCCCTGGTCTAGTACTTGCAGCTCACAACTTGTTCCAGAAGTCACGTGCACTCAACTAAGTTCACCTTATAGTACGAGCAGCTACTCCAATCTAGGTATGAATGTGAGGAAGTGCACCAGGTCAGCATTTCATCAACACTGGTAACATTTTTTAAAGGGAGTTTCCATTTTTATAGTGTATTGTACCACATGCCCTGATCCTCCCTTCACAACCAACCATAAATGGATTCCTCTTTAAAAAAAAAAAAAAAAACAAAAAAAAACCCCGAATCTCTCACCAAACTCACCCACAAAGATGTCATGAACAGTATAAAAGTGGATAGAAAAGGGGCATATCTTATCTGCAACTCATGACCCAACCCAAGATCCATATCCACCATACTGAGGAATGGCTCCCAAGGCCATCCTCCACATACACTCTCCCAAAGGGCTTCAAGTCACCAGTTATCTCCCAAAACAAACGCATTTCAGGGAAACATTAAGAATTTAGGCTGAAGGACAACTCTCAGGACAGCGATTCTAAATATACATTATGTCTGAAGTAAGGGAATCCTAATTCAGTATCTCTTTAGTTCAGGGGTGGGCAAATTACGGCCCACAGGACCATCCTGCCCGGCCCCTGAGCTCCTGGCCAGGGAGGCTAGTCCCCGGCCCCTCCCCCGCAGCAACGCTGCTATGCGGGCAAGCCACCCATCTCCCAAGCCTTCGAACAAGCCTGTCCTGCCACTCTGAGTGGCATGGTAAGGGGAAGAGGCCGGGGTGGGGGGGTTGGATAAGGGGCAGGGAACCAGGGGGGGTTGGATAGGGGGTGGGATTGGACAGGTGGTGGGGTCCTGGGGGGCAGTTAGGGACAGGGGGTGGGAAGTGGGAGGGGGCAGAGGCCAGGCTGTTTGGGGAGGCACAGTCTTCCCTACCCAGCCCTCCATACTGTTTCGCAACCCTGATGTGGCCCTCGGGCCAAAAGAGTTTGCCCACTCCCCCTTTAGTTATAGATATTCAGGATAATCCCCCTGTATTGTGCACTAGCGTTCACTGAGTAACCAACCTCAATGCTGTAACCCCAGTCCTTCCCACCTCAGCTCCTACCTGCAGATTGAGTATCCCCTTTAGTCATGCCTGAAACTGCATTCCACATTCTGCAGGACAGCAATCATATTTCATATGCATTATTAGGTGCATACACTTTTAATAACTTAATAAAGTACATTTCAACTGGGGCGTGGGGGGAGCGGGGGGATAGAAAGAAAAGAGACAGGAGTTTTATTCATCCTTCCTGGCAGGAAGCATACTGAGTTTATGTAATGATACTCCACAGAAAAGCATCTTAAACTCCACTGTTGCACAGAACAAAGGAGCTTGTAGCAGCCCCCATTTTAACAGAGACGAGACACAGGGAGACTACAGAACCCAGCATGCAATGAAGCACATTGATGAGAACATCCAGTGAAGAATACAGAGTGTGATTCATGACCAATAAATCTTCTATACTGAAGGTTAGAGCAGCTATGGGCTACGTTTGCCCACGTACTTTAGCTACCCTACTCTAATCCTCACTTGATGAAAATAAATCACACTGAACATTAACTCAAAAGCAATATTTGACCCCCTAATTCTAGAGCCTTTTATTGGAAGAAAAATTATTTCCTCAGTAGTTTGACAGTTATTCCTATGCTTTCTCCCTGTATTGCCTTTTGTTTACTACAGATGCAAATACAGGGCCAGATCCTCAGTGGCATAAATCAGTGCTCTATCTTCAATTTCAGAGGAACTGGATATTTCTGTTAACGTGGTGGACAATGAAACAGTCACCAGTGTGGACATTAAAATGGTCATCAGTGGGCCCCAGAGTTAACACCTCATTGAGATTATGAGGTAATTAATTAGCACCTCAGTGCTATTGTTTCAAGCTGTTTACATATTACTCCAACCAGCTGTGCAAAGGCTATATTGGCAGGTTCTTTTTGCACCCATTTGGGCTAGAAATAGAAACATTATAAATTGGTACTCCTGGCTGACATGCCACTGCACACCAGCTCAAATCCCACCCCTGCCTGTCCAGCAACTACCTTCTGTTCCTCTCTCTCTGAGGCATGGTGACACTTCTCGATCTTCCAGTGTCGCAGAAAGTCTCGCAGATACCCAAAGAGGGTGAGGACACCGTAGCCCACATACGTCAGCACAGCAACCAGCATTGGTGTTTCCTCAAAAACTTCATTAAAGGGTCTTTTATATAATCCTCCATTGTGGGCAATGTGATGAATCTAGGATAGAAGGTTAAAACTGGAATTAGAAGTTACTAGAATGGAAAAAAAAAAAAAAATCTGTTTTCAGAGAGTGCTGCTAGATTAGAGATGTCCAGCGGTATTGGGGCAAGATTTTTACTCAGTTCAAAGAACCAAGCATTTTCAGCCTGGGTCAAGCATTAATGACAACCACTCTTGATAAAGGACACTATCCCCAACTATTAGCCTCAGCTTCATCTTCTCTTTTGCTTCCAGCATGTCCAAGTTTTGTGCAACTCAGTGTGACATTTTATACAAGTTATGTAAATTAGCAAATTAAATTTTTGCATATAACCATCAACATCATCTCAGATGTGTGAATTTAGTCCCAGTTGAAAGGGTGACTGCCAGATTGAAAACCCTGGTGAACGACATCTATCTATATATAGGGCAACACCAGGGCAAGCTTCCCACACACACTGTCCTGCCAGCATAGTTCAGCCTTGATGAGGGTGAGGGAGGAGAAAGACTACTTCTGCTGGTGAAAGGGATGATGTTAGTTCAGTCCTTATGACTCAAATAATTCTTTGACAAATCTGCTCATTAGTACAAATAATGGTGGTGAACTTGTGATGTCAGAGTTGGAACCAAGATTCAAACTCATCCCAGTGTAGGAATCAGCCAACTTCCATATTAGGTGAGAACAGCTTTCAGTCCCTACTGAACAGGACTGGGTTCAAACTGGTGACCTACAGGTAAAAGGCTCTGTAGCTCACTTGCAATATTTTAAGGCACCTGTCCCTCAGTAAGTGCTACTTAGGAGGTCTTTCGCACATAAAAAACCTGTGTTAGACTTACAGTTGCAAAAGCAAGCATATAAAAAAAAACAAACACACACACACACAGAAATGCCAGCACTGATGTTACCCATGCAATCTTAATTCGGCCCCTTTTTGGGTATACGGTCTTTAATTACAAACTATTTCTCCCCACATGACCACGAGCAGAGTTTAAACTCTGGGCCTTTAGATATACAGCACAGACTTCTTCCGCTTGAACTGGAGTAGTAACCAATTGAAGGAATAGGCTATTACCCTCTACATGAGCCAGCCCCTTGAGGGAGGCCAGAGACACTTTTACCAATATGTTGTACAACTACTTATGAGACAAGATGGGGATGTCAGGTATCAGGATTCCTAGGTTTTACTCCAGGCTCTGGGAGCAAAGCTGTCTAGTGGTTAGAGCAGTGGTTACGGACCTAGTCAAGCATAAACATTTGGCATATTTGTTCAGAAAGCCATTGTGAGGAGGTGGGTGAGACTTGGGTCTGCCATACTAGAGACCAAGATTCTATTCCCAGATCTGCCAAAATGACCTTGTGCAATGTTACCCATTTTAAAATGGGCAAACAAAACTGGCCCCCAGGTTAGGGATACGAGGCCCTGGCCAGCAGTATGGTTGTGAACGGCACAGAAACTCCACCAGTCAGTAGAAGAGACAAAACCAGAACCCATAATTTCCTGTGTCCCCAGCCAGTGCTCCGCCTTCTAGGAGAAAGAGTATTTGGAATGCAATACTCTTTTGGCACAAGATTTTCACCCGATCTATTTGCAGAAAGATGCAGAACACTTAGCAGAACTGCAAAACTCTGGTGCCAGTACAGATCTTCCTCTTTCTCCAAGACCACATCTGGCTTCCCATCCTATACCATGGAAGTAAGGGCCTTTTGGCTAGAGCATAGGAATGGGAGTCAGGACACCAGGGTTCTATTCTCAGCTCTGCCATTGATTTGCTGTGTTTCCCTAGCAAGACACTTCCTCTGTGTCTGTTTCCCAATCTGCACAGTGGGGATAACACAGAGCTACCCCCCCGAGAACAGCTTTGAGATTTAATTCTGTAAAGCACTTTAAGATTCTTGGATGAGGGTGGTATAAAAAGGGTAAAGGACCATGTCACATCCACTTCAAGAAGTGAGGGCTTCTTATCTTCACTTTAAAAGCACCCACATCTGAGCTCTTTTTACAACACCCCAGCCACGTATCCCTGTACTGTACCCTAAATTTTCAATTTCTACTTCGTTTTTTCACCCACTCCAGACGCCATTCTCCTTCCAGCCACTTTTAAAGACCCACTTGACCAAAGAGCTCAGCAAACCCAGTTTGTTTGATACAAGCCTTCCCGGTCTAGGTCAGGAAATGCAAGAAACGAAACTGAACTCTAGTTTCACTGTCCCCATACTAGGTGACCTGCAATGCATCAACAGCATAAATGCTGAAAGATGAATTTTGTAACACACAGAACTATTGATTCCCTGTCTTGGAAACCTCTAACTCAGGGGTGGGCAAACTTTTTGGCCCGAGGGCCACATCCAGGTTGTGAAACTTTATGGAGGGCTGGGTAGGGAAGGCTGTGCCTCCCCAAACAGCCTGGACCCTGCCCCCTATCCGCCCCCTCCCACTTCCCGCCCCCTGACTGCCCCCCTCAGAACCACCGACCCATCCAACCTCCCCTGCTCCTTGTCCCCTTACTGCCCCCAGGACCTCACCCCCTATCCAACCCCTCCCTCCCTCCAGCCCCTTGACTGCCCTGACACATATCCACATCCCTGCCCCTAACTGCCCCCCAGGACCCCACCTCCTATCCAACCCCCCTGCTTCCCATCCCCTGACCACCACCCCCCCCGAACCTCCACCCCATCCAACCATCCCCTGCTCCCTGTCCCCTGACTGCCCCTAGCACCCCCTGCCCCTTATCCAACCCAACCCCCCACCCCCTTACCACGCCACTCAGAGCGGCAGCTCGCAGCCATGCTGCCACCTGGCCTGGCCTGGCAGGAGCGGTGGGCCAGAGCACTGGCATTGCGCCGCGCTGAGGCTGCAGGGGAGGGGGGACAGCAGGGGAGGAGCCGGGGGCTAGCCTCCCTGGCCAGGAGCTCAGGCCAGGCAGGACGGTCCCACGGACCAGATATGACCCGTGGGCCATAGTTTGCCCACCTCTGCTCTAACTGGATCATAAATATTATGCTTCCCCACAAGTATGTATCCCCCTAGCACCGAAATGTTTGACAAAGGCTGACCAAGAGACTCCATCTAGTCATGAAAAACTAAAACTTAGCTATAGTGATCCACTGATTCATGCTCTCCAGGGCTGATTACTGCAATGCACAATGCCTGCAAATAAGACTGAACTGAACAAACAAGCTTCAGCTGGTACAAATCAGAGCAGGAAACCTGCTCATCAACATGGGATGTTGTGAGCACAGTACTGAATTTTAACTACTACACTGATCCCGGAAAGAATTTTGGACTAAGTCTAACATCCAGGTCTTGATCTTCAAAGCCAATAGACCAGTCAGAAAGTAGAAAGCCTGGGCCACCACACCTAACTTGACATCAGTACTCCAAAGCGTCAAGGAAAGATACTTGTGAGTGTGGAAGATAGAGCCTTCTCAAGGGGCTGGGCCCAGAATCATGGCATGGGATAAAAAGGACCACAAACCTTATTGCTTTCAGACAAACTAAGATCCATCTCTTTGCCATAGCTTCCACATCACCACGTCCTTCTCTGCATTGGGAAAGAGACAGTACTAGCAGGAACATCCAGGTTTAGGCTACATATTGGAATATAAATTCTGAAAAAGTGCTTAGATCCTAGTGTGATACGACAGATGTCTCTGGGTATATGTGGGAGTAGCTGGGAGACTAGCAAGAAGGTGGGATACAGAAGAGACATTTGCTACCAGTAAGTGCCTGTATTCACAGTAACACCACCTTGACAACATGGACAATACAAGGACACTGAAGGAGTGGAGAAAGTGGCCGAAATCTCTCTGGAGCCTCCAGCCAAGTATGAGGCATGTATTTTTGGACAGATATTTGATAGTTGCCAATAGCGGAAATACAGCTACAACCCTCAGACAAGAAGTGAATGGCAGGCACACCCACCCATCAAGAAAGGGTTGCTGCGAGTATGACCCATTGGGGAAAAAAGCACAATAGGCAGACTTCTACTGACATGTCCGCACTGTTGTCTAAAGACAAACACGTAGGTCAGGAAATCTGAAACGTACCGTTGTCCAACGTTCAGTAAGACAGGACAGGAAATATATATGCATGCCTATAATGTACATACTTAACTATTTAATGGCTGATGCCTCTGTCAGCCACAGCCGCAGAAGGATCAATGTAACAACTTCATACTGAAGTCCCAAGAGTTAGTCTATCACAAACGAGCCTTTAATCTCAGTCTTTGCCAGTTGAGGCAGCAGTAACTTGGGAAAGAAATGAAAGGCTAGACCCAACAAGTATGAGAACAAAATTCTGGCCAGTGGCAAAGGTTTTATCTGTTTGGGGAAAAAAAATTTCGACATCAAATTTTAAATAAAAGTATCACATCAACAAGGCTGCAATAATCACAATCTGTAAAACTTTAAAGAGGCCTGTTCTTTCTGACAACTGCCATATTGGAACAAGAACCAGAGAAATCACAGTACCATTGTCTGTACTTCCAGAACACAGAAGTTTCATTTAGGAATGCAGTGGGTGGATCATCTTTGGGGATATTTGCATCAGTTGGAGACCCACCCAAGCCAAGAGCACAGCTTGGAAGCACAGTACTGTGCTTATATGTCAGTTTAGGGGGAAAAAATTTTCCCCCCCCTCAACATTAGCACGTTTGAACGTTGTAAGACTAGAAAGAGACTGATTAAAAACATTCCTTAGACATTTCAACAAGCATATTATGAATGCATGTAAATAAATACAATTTAAAATTGCCCTTAGAAAGGAAGTTTGTGGTCTAAGTTTAGATACGAAGCATTCATGGGGAAAAAAGGGGTCTCTGCATCTGCACAGCCAACCTCCAAATAAAAATGTGTGTGTCTTCAGCTCTAAGCCAACTGCGCATGAGCAGCAAATTCCTTTTGAGAACCCAAGAGAGAAAAGCTGGCGTGTGGTCGAGAGGCCTAATTTGCCATACAGAAATCAATGAGTGTTTCTACTGACTTTAGAGTGAGTAGGATTGGGACCTGATATGTTGAA